AGGACGTAAACCCCGAATATGATCTGTTAATTTATTTTACAGCTGTACTATCACTGGCGAATTTCGGATGTAGATTAACACAGAACACACATTAAAACTTTTAATGCTGAAATAACTAGAACAAGAAGATTTTGAAAATACACAAGCTTAGCTTTTTGCGAAAAACCGATTTTTCCCAAAATCAGGACTTTAATTTGCTACGGACTCGACCAGATTTTTATCGATTGTCCTACGCATTAAACTGGCCGGTCCGGTGTTTTCGAAAAGCTGAATCGGTTGGTCCGGTCTGGTTAGGGAAAATTCAACCGGTTCCAACTCTGATATCATCAAGCTTTAGCAAATTGTAATCAGTGGTCAAAGAATACAATGTAGCAGCATAATTTAGAGTAGATAATACATAGCTTTTATAAATTATATCAAGCACTTGTTTGTTCAACGACCATTTAGTCAATGTCATCGGATAGCACTGGTTGGATATGTTTAAAGTATTTTATTGAAGAAGGGATACCTTGACGTTAACTGTACAGTTCCATTAAAAAGTGAAGAAGACACTCGTTTATATACTAGAGAAAATAGAGAGCACACTGTACGTATAGAATAGAGATCACGTTTATACATATACAATAGAGATTATTCTAGAGGAAAGAAGAAGAGAAAGATTAGTATACTGATGGTCACCTCGATAACACCTCCCCCTTCGAAGATGAACGCCCACGTTCATCCAACATAAGATAAGGTAAAAAATAAAAATAAAAAATTGATTGCAACGAAAAAGTGATAAAAATTAATCTGTATTCTAAGCCTGATTTTAATTCCATTCATTGCAGGTAAAATTAATATCTTTTCTTTGGGTTCATATGACCGGGATCTGACAATAATTCAGTACAAATGAAAGTCTTTATTTAATTTTGAGGTTCAAAGATTGGTTTCATTACATTTACATGCACTTGTCTGACATAATCCGAATGCTCTAGCTGAATTTGATATGTAACAGGTCCAAGCACATTAATAACACGATATGGTCCTTCAAATATTGCTTGCATTTTATCATTCCTTACTGCTGGTTTGGCTAATACTAGTTGGACGATTTGATATTGAATGTTCTGACGATGCTGATCGTAACGTTGTATTGTTGTTGTTGACGAATATGTTCCTGAGTTTGGTGAATGAGAAAGGAACGATAGCCACGAAATTGATTATAGTAATCGTTTGATCTTGCAAATTGCACCATCGACTGAGGTTTATCAAATGGTAAAACAGGATCTTTTCCATATAGTAGTTGATAGGGTGAATATTTTGTTATTCGATGCTGTCCGATGTTGTAAGCATAGATAGTGGGTAATAAGTATTCGTCCCAATTATTCAATTTTAAATCTTGTAATTTACATAATTGCGGTTTAATAGTTGCGTTAAACCGCTCAACGATTCCATTTGTTTGTGGATGGTATGCTGTTGAGAAAATATGGTTAATTCCAATATCATTTGTAATCGCTTGCATCAGTTGGTTGTTAAAATGTAAACCTTGATCAGTAAGAATATGCTTCGGAATATGGCCATATCTAAATATAACATCTTCAACAAGAAATTTAGCTGTTTCAGATGCTGTTGCTGTTGGTACAGCTTTTGCAACAACAAATTTTGATAAATGATCGGTACAAGTGATGATGTATCGATTACCATTACTAGTAGCATCACGTGTTGGACCCCAAAAGTCCATCCCAACTAGTTCAAATACTTCACTTGGTGGTTCTGGTGTTTCTAATAGCCCAGGTGGTTTATGTCGAGGAATGTTGTATTGAGTACATAATAAGCATTCTTTGACATATCATTTAACATGTTCGGCCAATAATAATGGTTCTTCAATTTATAATAAGTTCAATCAGAACCGTAATGTGCGGCTGTTGGATGAGTATGTGCTGAATATAATAAATCTTTAATCATAGATTTTGGTACCCACGGAATTTTCTTCTTTGTTCTTCCTGAATATGTATCAATGAGTTTGTAGAGAATGCCATGTTAAACGACGAATGCTGAATGGGTGTTTGGATATTGTTGCATCTCACTAATTCGTTGTTGGGCAATTGGATCAGTTTCTTGTCCTTGCGGGATTTTGGTATAATCAAATCCAGGTATCAAAGATGGAATATGAGGTTCAACTGATGTTGTTATCGGGGAAAGTATTGTTGATGTGATTGTTGGAGGACATAGTGTTGAAGTTGATGGTGAATTATTCAAAGCAGCTTTTTGTGCGCGTGTTTGTACTGCATTAATTTGTGAAATACTAGTATCAATTGTAGTTCGTGATGGACTAAATTCATTGTGTACTGGAATATTATCTTCATCATATTCATTACTACTAGTATCTTCAGTTGTAGCATCATTTGGTAAAGATCTTGATAAACAATCAGCATCCGGATGACATGAGCCACTTTTATGTTTAATATCAAATTCATATTCTTGTAATACTAATGACTAACGATAGAGTCTTTCATTTCCAGATTTGTGTTTGTTGAGCCAGTATAAAGGATGATGGTCTGTAATAACAGTAAACTTTGTGCCATACAAGTAAATTCGCAATTTCTTCACTGCCCAAACAATTGCCCCAACATTCTTGTTCTAGTTATTTCAGCATTAAAAGTTTTAATGTGTGTTCTGTGTTAATCTACATCCGAAATTCGCCAGTGATAGTACAGCTGTAAAATAAATTAACAGATCATATTCGGGGTTTACGTCCT